CATGCGTATGTCACCATTTAAATCCGCTTGATGATTTATTAAAATTTTAAACGTTAATCCTAAAGTTTTCCTTTAATCACTAACTTTAACTTCATACCAAGTTTGTATGAAGTTGACCTCATTTGAAATATCGAATTAGTTAGTTATGTTTTCCCAATCATTCCGTTCTAAGTATAATATGTTTAAAGCTTGCTCCCAATCAATGGTGTTCACAAACTATCAAGCATATGGCCATAAACAGTTTCAGAGTAATTGTAATTAATAAAAAAAAGGATTTCCTAATTCAGATGTTGACTTAGCGTATTGTGGGCTGAGAGTAGATTTTTTTTTTATAATCAGACTATTTCTGGAAAATCTCCCATTTTTATTTGTTTCTATAAATGATATGAACATGTCAACCTTTCTATTTCGGTTCGGTTACACTACCTTACATTGTTCTGTAAAAACAGGACGCATCGTCATAGTCCAATTGTTAATAAAAAGAACAGATATATATCCAAACAAAGTAAATACGGTATGGAAAGGTGTTCTTACCAGGAATCTCTACGTTCGTTTAATCGGCTCAGACAACAATCAAATAAATTTTCAACACGATGTTCTTAGCTTAATATTTACACACCTTCGAAAAATACCTAAATTTGCAAAGGGGAAAAAGTGTAATACATTAAATCAATAGAATACAAAGACATACATATCTTCAACCCCATTTACACTCAGCTGTAAAAGAGTGATTTTTAAGGAAATGGAAAACTTATTAAGTTAAAAGTGTGTTTCCTGGTTTTTTTTTTTACGCTTTGTTCATTTACACAGATGCATTTATAATAATTATTCATGCATGAGCCAATACATCATAGTTATCGTTCAATTTTGTTAGATTCCAATGCATATATGCAAAACCGACCGTGCGAGGGATGTATATCCAATCAAGGTCGTAAAACACTTCCAGTAGTTTAGTATATGTAAAAATAACGTAACTATGAATAAGCAGAGATTGATATGTTTATGTATGTGAATATGTGTATTAGTAAAATACATTCACCATTACAAATTACAAACTATATACAATATGCAGAACAATCTATTTCGATGTTTTAAATTTGAAATGGGTCTACAACTATAATAATCATATAGAACAGATATCAAATTTAGAAGAGACAAATCCAGGTCAGAAAAATAAAATAAGTGAATGGCTGGAAATTTAAAAGGAGCAAGACCAGGTGTATCGACAGAGTTAGCATCTCCTGTTTTCATGCGTCATCTGGCATTCGAATCTACACTCAGTCCGAAGGTCATAATCGGTAATATTTCATTGATTGTCGAAATGCGCTTATTTTAAATAAAGGAATGTATCTCCCTCATGCAAAGCTCTGATTCCTTCCCCGGCTTTGGCTATACTTTTTGGTTCTTTTTTGTTTATAGCTCTACATATTTTTAATAAGCTTTGGATTTTCAAATATTTTGGCCTCGAGCATCACTGAAGAGACATTGATTGTCGAAATGCGCATCTGGTGCAGAAAAATTGGTACCGTTTATGTTATTACCACTGGGTCGATGCCTCTGTTGGTGGACTGATGGTCCCTGAGGGTATCACCAGCCCAGTAGCCAATTCTTTGGTACTGGCACGAAAATACGGATTTATGTTATCAAAATTTGCTGTTACAAAATTTTGGAAATTATTTAGAATTAAGGAATGTATCTCTTTCATGCAAAGTTCTGATTCATTGCCCGGCTTTGGCTATACTTTTTGGTCCTTTTTTGTTTATAGCTCTTCATATTTTTAATAAGCTTTGGATTTTCAAATATTTTGGCCTCGAGCATCACTGAAGTGACATTGATTGTCGAAATGCGCATCTGGTGCAGAAAAATTGGTACCGTTTATGTTTCAGATTATATTTGTATATACATTTCTAAGATCGCGAAAAATGTTGCTAGTGATATGAGACACCGAAACATTGTATTGGTCAACAAACACTTAATTGTGACAGTCAATAAACAATCCAAACTTTTCTGATTGGGTTCCATTAGTATATCCGTCAGAACTAGAAATTAAAGAAACAACAGACACGGCTTCCTTTGTGTCATTTTTAGACATCGAATTGGAAATCAGCGGTCATCTCAGTACAAGAGTCTATGACAAACAATACTATTTTAATGTTATGTTCTCAAATCATTTCTACGAGTTTTTTTTATACTAACGTAATATACTATGAACATTGCAACCTTCTTATATCAGGCTGGTGAAACTCTTTTACACTCAGCTGCTAGAGGTGGACACCTCAACATATTTCAGTTGTTACTAGAAAGAACATCAATCGATCCAAATAGAGAAAATAAGGCATTGAATGAGGTTCTTTTCAGGTTTGTCCGACTTTGTTAAATTGTCCATCAAAATCAATGTCAGCACAATGTTGCTTATAATATCAATACATATCTCAGCAAAATACTAAATACCAGAGGGGTAAAAACAATTATATTCCAACAACAACAACAAAACAAATACCAAGACAAACGTCATTCATGAAGTCATGTATATACAACCACTACGTATTTGATTAAAGTCTAAAGATTGTAACCCTGCATAACTGAGGATGTGATAGTGTTGCAAAAACATAAATAACGTAACAAATTAAATTCACCGGAAGTGTACATATGATACAGATTAAAATAAATAAGTCCTATCGGAAATAAACAAATGTTTTTTAAAAGTAAAAACACCTGTTAATTTTGTTTTCTTTTGTAGTCTGTAGAACAGCATATATTGATTGGCTGTTTCTTATAATTACACGAGTCTGATCAAAATCAATCAATTAGGCTCAACTTGTTTTTAAATTAAACAAAAATCTAGCAATAACTCATGCACCAAATATAAATATAGATAGATATATTGTAATGTGTTCTATTTATCCAAAGTTAGACCCTAAATGTTAATGCTTGAAACTTCTTTTAAACTGAATTGCACTGTGTGTATTGCTGTGTGTTTATTTATTCTACATTGGCTAGAGGTATAGGGAGAGGGTTGGGATCTCATAAAACATGTTTAACCCAGCCTCATTTTTGCGCCTGTCCAAAGTCAGGAACCTAGTGCCATTGCTAGTCTTGTATGTTTTTTTTTTTTAATTTCAGTTCATTTATATGGATCGGGGTTTAGTGTGACGTCCATTTTCAATAAACTAGTACACATTTTTGTTTAGGGGCCAGCTGAAGCCCGCATCCGGGTGTGGGATTTTCTCGCTGTGTTGAAGACTCATTTGTGGCCTAGGGCTGTTTTCTGCTCTTAGGTCGGGTTGTTGTCTATTTGACGCATTCCCCGTTTCCATTCTCAATTTTATTGAAAACAAAATATTTCAATTCATTTGAGAACATAAAATATGTTAGTCTGATATAAAAATAAAACATATGCCCATTGGTTTACTATTGTCTATCTTGACAGTTTCATAAGTACGAGTACCTAGGCTTAAACTCACCTGTTGAACTACTGGTAATTAATATTTTCAATTTTAAATCAGATAAGGCTCTTTCTTAATCACAATTTTTCATTCATAACTATTTGTTTTATATATTCCTGATTTCAAATATAAAATTGGTTAGTAATACGTTTTCCCCTTGTCTCTTTTTGTTTTCTTCTTTTTGGAAATGTTTGCTTGTAACATCGTTTAATTCAAACCAACATAACTTGACTTTGAACACGTTACTTGTATACTAGAAATATCTTAACTTTCAAACAATATTTGATTATTTGTATGTTTTACTCTTGAGGGCTATCATTTTCAACTTACCTTCACTATAGTTGTTTTGTAACAGATTTTTGTTTAAGTCTGTTTAAGATTGTAAACCGGTTAAAATAAGTAATGTTATCCATATCAACATACACAATAGTAAACCCTGAATGTATTGCATACACTTTTATTCATCTAAAACGTCTCATAAGAACTTTGGACCTTTCTTTAAAATTATAATTTTATCATCAGCAAAATGTGAGAACTTATATTATATCTGTGTGTTATTTTTACATGTACTATTTTTAAGCAATTCATTGAATTCTTTATCAAGGAACTTATGAGATCACTTTTTTTAACCTTCTATATTTGGTTTCGAATTTAATGAACAGCGTTAATGTTTTTTTCCACAATATTTACACAACTGCTGTCATTAACGCTTTCTATATTCAGATTTGTTTCCAATACAAAGTGCCAGTCAACAAGTGTTCAAACACTCAACCCTTGTACATTTTCAGCAGAATATTTAGCATTAAAAATGTCATATCAGGAGCAAATATTTATGTTCTTTTGTATACTGTAGCATTAATTTACTGTTTTATCAGTAATTAAACAAGTCGGATCTAAATGAATTAATCTGTGCAAGTAATTATCTCTGAATTATTTGTGTAAACATTAAGGTCTCTATATGTATCATGTGTATGTCACCATCTAAATCCGCTTGATAACTCATTAAAATTTTAAATGTAAATCTTAAAGTTTCTCTTTAATCACTAACTTTAACTCCATACCAAGCTTGTATAAAGTTGACCTCATTTGTATATCGAATTTGTTATGTTTTTCCCAATTATTCCATTCTGAGTATAATATTTTGAAAGCTTGCTCTAAATCAATGGTTTTTGTTCTCAAACTATCAAGCATATGGTCATACACAGTTTCAGAGTGATTGTAATTTATCAAAAAAAGGATTTCCTAATTCAGATGTCGACTTAGCGTATGCTGAGAGTGGATAGTTTTTTTTCATGATTAAACCATTTCTGGAAAATCACCCATTTGTATATGTTTGTATAGATGCTATGAACATGTCAACCTTTCTATTTCAGTACGGTTACACGCCCTTACGTTGTTTTGTAAAAGAAGGACACATTTATAGAAACGATTTTGAAATTCATTAATCTCGAAATGTTGGCCAACGGTGTGTTTTGTACTCTGATCATTTGTATGACACTGTTGTTTTTTTCACCTTCATATGATAAAATGAACAGTGCAACCTTTTCATTTCAGTACGGTGATACTACCTTACACATAGCTACTATTTATGAACACCTTGATATTGTCCAATTGTTATTAGGAAGAACAGATATAGATCCAAATAAAGTAAATAAGGTATGAAAAGTTGTTCTTATTAGGAATCTCCATGTTCGTTTAATCGGCTCAGACAACAATCAAATTCATTTTAAACACAATGTTCTTAGCTTAATCATACACACTTTCGCAACATACTTAAATATTTAAAGGGAAAAAGATGTAAACATAAAATCAAAAGTAAAATAACAAAACTCCGAGGTAAATTCTAAACGGAAAGTCCTTAAGCAAATGGCAAAATCAGAAGCTCAAACACATCACGTGAATGGATAACAACTGTCATATTCCTGACATGTAGAAAATGGTGAATTAATCCTGGTTTTATAGCTAGCTAAATATTTCACTTGTATGAAACGACATGAATATCTTTAACACATTTACACTCAGCTGTAAAAGTGTGATTTTTAAGAACATAGAAAAGTTATTAAGTTAAAAGTTTTTTTCCAGATTTTTTACGCTTTGTTCATTTGCACAGATGCATTAATGATAATTATTTATACATGAGCCAATATGTGATAGTTATTGTTCTATTGCTGTGTTAGGTTCCAATGCATATATGTCAAAATAACGTAACTAAGAATAAGCAGAGATGGATATGTGTATGTATGTGATTATGTGTGTTAGTAAAATACATTCACCATTTCAAATTACAAACTATATACAATATGCAGAACAATCTATTTCGATGTTTTAAGTTTGAAATGGGTCAACCACCAGAATATTCATATAGAACAGGTACCAAATTTAGAAGAGACAAATCCAGGTCAGAAAAAAAATGAGTGAATGGCGGGAAATTTGAAAGGAGCAAAACCGAGTGTATCGACAGAGTTAGCATCTCCTGTTTTCATGCATCATCTGGCATTCGAATCCACACTCAGTCAAAAGGTCATAATCAGTAATATTTCAGGTGAAACAACTATATATGTATATACACTTCTAAGACCGCGAAACATGTTGCTAGCGATGGAGACACCGAACTATTGTATTTGTCAACAAACACGTAATTGTGACAGTCAAAGAGAGACGAAAGATACCAAAGGACATTAATTTTCATCAGTCGAAAATAAACTGACAACGCCATGGCTAAAAAAGAAAAAGACCAACAGACAAACAATAGTACACAAAGCACAACATATAAAACTAAAGATTGAGCGACACGAACCTCACTAAAAACTCCGGAAGGGTAAGCAGATCCTGCTCTACATGTGGCACCCGTGGTGTTGATCTCAGGTGTTCCGGAAGGGTGCGCAGATCCTGCTCTACATGTGGCTCCCGTCGTGTTTATCTCAGGTGCTCCGGAAGGGTAAGCAGATCCAGCTCTACATGTGGCACTCGTCGTGTTGATCTCAGGTGTTCCAGAAGGGTAAGCAGATCCGGCTCTACATGTGGCACTCGTCGTGTTGATCTCAGGTGTTCCGGAAGGGTGCGCAGATCCTGCTCTACATGTGGCTCCCGTCGTGTTTATCTCAGGTGCTCCGGAAGGGTAAGCAGATCCGGCTCTACATGTGGCACCCGTCGTGTTAACATCAGGTGTTTCAGAAGGGTAGGCAGATCATACTCTACATGTGGCACCCGTCGTGTTGATCTCAGGTGTTCCAGAAGGGTAGGCAGATCATGTTCTACATGTGGCACCCGTCGTGTTGATCTCAGGTGTTCCAGAAGGATAGGCAGATCATGCTCTATATGTGGCACCCGTCATGTTTTTTCATGTTAGTATAAACCCAGTAATAAGTCTTATTCGGTAGGGCACATTCGGGGAAAAGTGCATGGGTTTGAACAATTTTGTAGTTACGACATTAGAAAGTTATCAAACAACCATCAAACATAAATAACCGAATACGTAATCTGAAACCCCACCCTTCTCCATATACTAAAACTTATCTAATAAAATCAAATATTTGTGTGTATCATTCAACTAAAAGTATGACATTAAGTTATGACATCATCTGATCCTGTAGGTTGTTTTAGAAATAAGGTATTTATTGTACTCCTATGCCATGGTATTTTATGTATATTGCATTTGTTTTCCTTGGTTTTTTTTTCTTCACATTTGTTAATTTATTCGTTAAAAGTGACTCATCATCTGATTAGGACACGAGAAATAAGTTCAATGTGTGGAGTAGACGAGACCAAATTATAAGCATGTAATCAATGATTATTACGTGTAATAATTGTGTCTTTCTACAAAGTTACGCTAAATCCAACGTTCTTCTTATCAAGACCTACATAAGGGAAAATTATAGCATGTAAGCTTGTTACTTTAACGTATACTAATTATAATTAAAGAAAATGGTTTAAAGCTTCCTGATTATCTCTAATAAAAAGGGGTACACACTAACATAATGCTTTTAAAAAGATTTCCATGACATGTCGAAACGAACATTGATGACCTTCTACTATTTGACCAAATTTTAGATACAACTTTGTCAGCTAATTTAATTAACGTGGTTTTACCCTTTCGTATTTGAGCATGGACTCTTTCCTTTCTACGTGTGTTAACATATAGGTATGTATCATTTTTTGAAATAGTTCTTATTTACAAAGATCATATTTCATAATGTTCATCTGTCATTAGCTTTTGTTTTCAAGAAAAATAACTGGTAATGTCTTGCCTACAACTGTATTTGATAAGCTTTGTGTATCTTATGCGTTTACCTTTTTATTTTAGAGTGGGAAAACTCCGTTATTCTCAGCTGTTCTAAACAGAGATATCGAAATAGTTCAATCCTTATTAAACAGAACAGATGTAGATCCAAATGAAAAAAATACGGTATGCAGTATGTATTATCAACCATTGAAAAGGCAGATGGCACTGTCAGTAAAACATAAACTGTAATCTTAAACCCTTAAGTCCGTTTACATATATAAGTCCTAAAATATGCGCAACAATACCAATATAAGATGGTTATATACGACGATGATGTTATACAATCGTATTGCAAAATCATCGGCCGAACATGACATTTATAATATTTTCCATATATGCGCATTCTTACCTATTATGGACGATCGGATACATAACAAATTTGCAGGATTACCTTTTTTAAAGACTTGCATATATATGTAAATAAAATAAAAACTGTAAAACAAGTTTCCGTACGTTTTTACAATTACCATGATTACGGTCTCCTTTGTTTGAATTAAATCACAACATTGAAACATCAGTCAAATCGCATTGATTCATTACGTTACAATAACTTCTATGACGTGCATTTGTCGCGCTTTTTTTATTTTTCATAAACATTTTTTACTTCCGGTCGTACATAGTGTTCAGTTCGTCCGGCTCTAATGTTTTAAATTTTTAATCCAAATGGCTTCTTTATTTTTCGGTAAAATATTATTGCAATAATTTTTATATGTTCAACCGAATGGTTATGTTGTACGAGGTGGTTTGCTACTGGGTCGTTTGTTTTGTTTGTTCTTTTTTTTTAAAGGTGAATTACATCCTTTGATACAGTTTATTGACAGTCAGTTTGTCCTACACATATAATTTTATCGCATTTTTGTACGGTTTTTTGCATACACTACGCCCACAGTTTTACAATCTATTTATCCCTGAATGGTATATTCTTTTCCGTAGTTATCACAGAATACTTTGGTTTCATTAATGTGTAGATGATGCGCAATTGATTCCGCATTATCGACAGAAATGGGGAATGTGTCAAGAGACAACAACCAGAACAAAGAGTAAAAAAACAACCGAAGGTCACCAATGGGTCTTCAACACAGCGAAAAAATCCCACACCCGAAGGCGTGCTTCAGGTGATCCCTTAACTCAGCAACTCAGCTTAAACCCTGATACATTGATATGATTCATGCAAAAACATGTATATGTCATGGATATTAACACCCTATCTCTTCTTTATAATATTGTACACATACTATGATTGGGTAAAAAATTATGAAGCAAATCTATAAAAAATGCAAATATGAAGGAATGTCACAATAGGTTGGCCAAACTTTTGTGATACATATTTTAGTTCCAGCAGAAAGTAAACATTATCCTTGAGTCCTGCCAAGTAATTTCTATAATAACATCATTCAATTCATCATCAGATTCCTCTATAACAGTTCTTCCAGATTGATTGACAAATCTAGAAAATAATCCCTGCACTTGCTGTGTACTCAACCATTCTTCCGGTAAAAAAAGCCTGTTTCCATTTTCATCCCTGACAAATCTTTTTTTTTTGGAAGCCTCAGTTGGAGTGTATTTTCTGCCAGTTTGTTCACCTTCCACGAATAACTTTAGTAAAAAGTCTTTCACAGCAATGCTAAACTTCTTATTCATTCTTTTTCCTTTCAATGACCATCCTGCATTTAATGTACATTGTGTAGTCTGTGATGTCTGATCGGTGGATTTTTTACAAAACACTTGTCATTGATTCTTTGATGTTAGTGCATTTGCTGCTCCATCAAACTTTGACCAGAACAGTGTGCTTGACATTGTGGTTTTCTGATGGATGTTGTATTCTTGAAGACACACAAATGTCAGGCCAAATTCACCACCAGTATAGTCATCATTTTGCAAAAAAAAAAATATTTTCATTTTGAAGAAGTGAATGAGTAAATACAGCAGAATTAAATCACTATAAATACTTTGAACAAATTTGTGGGTACCTATTTTTTTGTGGCTTCTCACAAATTTACATGTTCCAAATTTTAAATCAATTTGTTGATTTTTTCTATTTTTTTCTAAATGATTTCATTTTCTATTTTATGAAAAAAACAAGCCTTGTGCATGGAGATACCAAAAAACAGAATTCACTTTAGTATAATATAAATTATACATCATGTGCATGTATACAAGCTTCACAAAATTTGAACAAAAGTGGACCCACTGAAATGTTTAGCCTGTTCTAGTGTTCTCAATTAAATTTATGCTGATAGTGTGTTCTCGGACCAAATCTGAATAAAATGCTTCGCTGAGCGCAGCCTGATACGACCGCAGAGGTTGAACCTTGAACAGCTGGACCAAATTTGCACACAATATTCAAGCTTGATACTGTCTGAATTTGGAATGTGATCAAATTTTTGACATAATATAGGTTTCTGACTCAAAATAAATGTGGTCAAAGTCCTTAAAAATTTGAAATGGGACATTTAATTTACCTAGAATGGTCTGATATCAAAAATCTAACAACATGGTTAGACTCAGCATATAAAAAACACAAACAAATTAATTTTAGTCGAAATCAAACAAAGTTTAATTTTGGACCCTTCAAACACTAACATAGACCTATTTAAAAACAGGGCCCAAAATGAAAAAATTAAATGCACAATAAGATTCAGCAAATCATACAGCCGCAATAATTCAGTTTTTTAATTGTCGACCCTTTTGACCTCAATGTAGACCATTTAAAAAATGAGGCCCAATATCCAAAAAAAAAATACAAGGTTAGAACCCCGAATAATTAAAGCCTTAATCAATCCCATTGAAATGAAATTGGTTAAATCATTTGTATTAGTTTTCAATTGAAGATGTCTTGCTATTGCGCAATACTGTGCTCATGCGCAATACTGTGCAATTGAAGATTTCTTGCTATTGTTAAATACTGTGCTATTGCGCAATACTATGCAATTGAAGAGTTTTTGTTATTGTGCAATACTGTGCAATTGAAGATTTCTTGCTATTGCGCAATAATGTGCTATTGTGCAATACTGTGCAATCGAAGATTTCTTGCTTTTGCCCAATACTGTGCTATTGTACAATACTGTGCTATTGCGCAATACTGTGCGATTGAAAATTTCTTGCTATTGCGCAATATTGTGCAATTGAAGATTTCTTGCTATTGTGCAATACTGTGAAATAGAAGATTTCAAAATTGTGAAGAAAAAAATGACCCCCCCAAAAAATTGGAAAAACAAATCCCTCCAACATTTTGAACCCCTCCTCCCCCTCCACCTTTTAAAGTAATTACCCCCAAACTTAACCCCAGCCTTCCATTTGTGGTATGGAACCTTGTAGTACAATTTTAGAGAGATCCATACACTTAAACACAAGTTATTGTCTGTAAACTAGAAAAATGCTTGATTTGGCCCCTTTTTGCCCCTAATTCCTGAACGATTAGGGCAATTACCCCAAAACTCAATCCCAGCCTTCCCTTAGTGATACGGAACCTTGTGGTAAAATTTCATAGAGATCCATTCACTAAAACTAAAGTAATTGTCCGGAAACCAAATTAGTCTTCGGACGACGACGACGACGACGCAGACGACATAATAGCATTATACGATGCCAACAAAATTTAGCGGTCGTATAAAACTATCCAAACTAAAAATTTAACATTGACCAACCATGAAAATTAGGTCAAGGTCAAATTACACCTGCCAGACAAACATATAAACCTTACAATTATTCCATACATCAATTATATTTCTAAAGAGGAAAGGATTGATTGATTGATTGTTGGTGTTTTAACGCCACTTTCAAGCGCCACTTTTGGGCTATTTCGTGGCGCCCAGGTTTTATTGGTGGAGGAAGCCGGAGTGCCTACAGAAAACCACCGACCTTCGATAGGACAACTGACAATCCTTGTCAATTAAGATTGGAGTCGAGTGCACCCACACAGGCGGGGTTCGAACGCAGAACCTCAGTGTTGACTGGCTACTAATTACAGTAGTAAAACTTCTTAGACCACTTGGCCACCAAGACCCCAAAGAGGAAAGGATAGTGATGTTGACAACAAAAGAAAATATGTATCTCTTCACCTGATTTATCTGGTCATGACTAGCAGCAATTTCCTCTGTGTTCTGATCATTCATTTCTTCAACATCTCAAGTTTCATTCCTTTCCGGTAAAATATACTAGTCATTAACACATATTTCCAATGCTTTTATCTCTTCTAAATATAGGTGATAACAGATAAGAAAGTAATTTTTACATAACTCAGTTTTTAAAAATGTAAAATTTATCCTAGTAATAACTTTAGTGATCTTTGAGCAAGGCAAGGTGATTTTACTAAATTAAACATTCATGTAAAATGAACGTTTATCTCAAGTCAGTCCAAAAGAATGATGGACATCTTCAAAACTAAGTTAACACAAACAGGACAAACAAAAATACCCCCATTGTGAGACAGAAAGCAGTTAGAGTGTTTGCTTTTGCCTTATGTGACACATGTAACAAAAGAATTTTAGAATGAAGTAAGAAGCCTGTTGTTCAGTGGTTGTTGTTTGTTGGTGTAGCTCATATGGCTTTTTGTTACCTAGTTTGTATAACCATAAAATTAGGCCATTGGCTTTCCCATTTGAATTGTTTTATACTGGTCATTTTAGGGGTTTTATAGCTTACTGTTCAATAAGAGCCAAGGCTATATGTTGAAGGCCATACTGTAACATTATGTCTTAGATGGAGAGTTGTCTCATTGGCATTATTATCACATCTTATTATTCATATTGTATTATGAACTTAATGAGATTACAAATGCAAACCTTTTCGTTATTCATTTCACTGTGCTTCCTCTTTTTTGGTCTAATTTTACTCATTCCTTTTCTTGTAACTGTTTGCATCTCCAGTATCTACAATGTAAGTAAAGTAAACATATAAAGAGTACAGTCTAAATAGTAGTTTAGGTTTAACATTGTACACTTCTAATCCAATATTATTTCAATAGTGTGTTCTTACACCAAAAGAAAAAAGAAACTTTGCTTTCTGTTACTTCCCATCAAGAATTAGGGCCATTAGAAACATAATATGTTGCCTTATCATTTCACCAAAACATTATGCATTGTAATATACATATACATGTACATGTACTTTCTAAGTGAGAGTAAGATAAGTATCTATTATCAGGTCATCTGCACAATGATATCGTGAAATATCAACTGCAAGCCACAATACATAGCATTTTTGGCAAGAAAGCTCATCGAAAGACCTAAAATGCTTTATATTTTGTAGAGCAGCTGGTATTTCAATATATCATCAATATGCAAAAAAATCTTATAAATAGTTTATCGGAAATGATTGAAGGAGAATTTCCTTGTCAAATCGTACTGTTTTCGATGTTTTTTAGTCGTCCATGTAGT